TGTGAAGTTCCTATAGTACCATAGGGCGCAGATGCAGGGACACTCATATGGTCTGAATTCTGTTGACCAGGCTCCCTTTTTGTTTTTATTCTTTTTCAAGACGGGGTTTCTCCATAGCTCCGGCTGTCCTAGAGCTCACTCTGTAGACCAGGCTGATCTCGAACTCACAGAGATTCTCCTTTCTCTGCTTCCCGAGTGCTGGGATTAAAGGCGTGCGCCACCACCATTTCCCCAGCTGACTAGGCTCCTTGACTACCAAGAAATGAATCTCAGTCTCTTCCTTCTTCTTCTGATTCCCCCCATGTCTGTCTGTTCATCTGTCTGTCAGTCTGTCTGTCTCAGGGTCTCAGGTAGCCTTGAACTCATTATGTACCTGAGAATTATTATGCACTCCTGATCCTCTTATAAGCATGTTCTGGTACACCTAGTCCTCCCTCCTTCCCTCCCTCCCTCCCTCCCTCCCTCCTCCATCCTCACTTCCTACTGTCTCTTCCTCAAACGGTCTCTATGTAGTCCTGGCTGACCTTGAACTCATGATCATTTTTTCTGTGTTGGCCTCCAGAGTGCTAGAATTATAAGCACACACGACCGTGGTCTGTTAAAGACCATACTCTTTAGCTTTATTTCCTAACATCCAATACAGTGTCTGATACTTAGTAAGTGTTCACTGCTGTGGCTATATTAAGCAGAAGCATGAATCTAAATTTCAGGGTAGTGGGAAATACACTTGTAGAGTGAAAAATCCTTCTCAGTCCTTCCAGGGCATGGGGGACAAAATCATGTAAATGGCAAAGGCAAGCTTGACCTTTTTTTTTTTTTTTTTGGTGACCCTCCCCCTTATCCACCCACCCATCACAGGTCAGGATTTGCTAGACACTCACTGGATATTGCTTCCATTACTGCCATCAGCAACAAGGCTTGTTTGTTTGTGTGTTTGTTTGTTTGTTTGTTTGAACAGAGTTCTAGGATGAACTCATTGCCAATTAAACCCCCCAATTTAATTACAGCAGAAGTAAAAATTACGTAGACAAAGGACTTTCACTCAAGTATTTCAGAAATATTTTACTTTTGAAGTCGGAACTATCCTGGGTAGATAAAAACAGCATCTTGTTTGAAGTTATAAGTATGACGGGTGAGCTCATCCTGGGGAAAAGATGGAGTGTAATTCTATCCACCTTATGATTATTGTGGTTCATCAGATCCAATAGCTGTTGGGAAACATCTCTTTGCTATACCCAAATCATTTGGCTCCTTTCTCTGAAAAGACATTTTTTAAAAAATGAACCCTTAATTTCCATAGCCCAGAGAGTTGTGCTATTTATAAACCAGCCACAGGACAAGAGAAGCCACAAAGAATTAAATGTTAGATTCTCTTAAGAAATATTTTCCTTCAGTATTACATAAATACTCTTGTGCTTTTTGGTACTTTTTTTTTTTTGAAATCAGGCAACCCTGTGACATTTCAAAGTGAAGTAACTACACACAGTTTTTTATATTGAGGCGAGGAGAGCCTTTTTTTTTTTTAAACCAGTATAATTAACCACACAGGACACATTATTCATTGTCCTCTGACCTTTATGATTTAATTTCATATTCTGAAAACATTTGCTTCTAAATTTAGTGATGAAACTGAAAGGAATGTTATGGTTGTTTCTCAGGCTGTGGATTGCAGTGGAGTATGAAGCTAGCAGAGTTTTCAAACATGGATGTTAAAACACCCACACGGTATATCTGCTTGGTCATGTAAAACGTTTAATAAAAGCCCCATTTTAAGGTACACCAGGATTTCCATCCAAGACCCTGGAAAGTTCTATACAAAGCTGTAAAGTTCAGTTGCCCAGTCAGGGTGTCAAGGAGAGGTATGTCGACTCACTGAGAGAGTAGACAAGAGGCAGTGACTGGGGAGGTCTTTGAAGAGCCCACCACACCCCCATTCCTTCCATCCTGACCCCCCACCGTCACTTCCAGAGACCAAGAGATGGCCAGTAAAGATTAGGAGTTTAAAACAGGTTGTTTTCAATTTGCATATTTCCTTTTTCTAAAATGAAAACCAAAATTCTTCCCTTCGATACACCAGTGGGAAGGGGCTTTCTGGGGTCCACATGTGGGATAGGTTGGGGGGGGTCAAGGGTACTTCAAGGAACCTAGGGGGCATGTGGAACGAAGTATGGGACCCCCTGCCCTGGTGTGCCACCACTGGAACTTAGGTTACCTGCCCTGCCCCAGTGTGATGATGGCCAGAGATTAGGCCAGAGCCACAGATATGGCAGTGCAGGTTGTATCCTGTGCCGGGTACAGAGCCAAGGGGACCACTAGGGATTTAAATTCAGTTCTCTAGGCCACAGCTGCCTCCTCAAGGAGGAGAGGGTACTTTTGGAGTTTTATCTGCCCAGATGAGGTGGAGTTGTCCGAACTGGCTCATGGTCAGGAGCCTAGATCCAAAAACGTCTTGTTTCTGGGAAGACTTTGGAGCCGCCGGGTCCCCCTCACCGCCCCCCCCATGAGCCCATCTTTTAGGTTCTTGTGCCCTGGAGGTTTGCAGTGCTTCTGCGTGGGTGAGGGTCCCAAGACTGGCCCAAGGAGTGACATTACCAGGTAGTCAAGTCTTCTGTGGACTCAGGTAGGGAGGGATGTGAGTGGCCTCCTTGGCATCCACTGGAAAGTGTGAGTATTGGACACTCTGCTATGGAAACTTGTGCAGAACCTGGGTGCAGAATGTGCTCTTCTCCCTGGCCCCCTCCCCTCTCATTTCTTCCCTCTGTTCTGCACATTCACTCAAAGAAGACCCATAGATACTTCCCTCTTAGGGGGATTTGCATCTTAAATTTGCATATGTATTTATGTACGTATGGGTATGTGTACATACATGTATATGTGAGTATATATATGGGAGTGAAAATACACATGTGTAGGCTGGAGATCAACATCTCATATCTTCTTCAATTGCTTTCTACCCTGTGTTTGGAGACATGGTATCTTACAGAACCTGGACATTACCAGTTCAGCTAGACTGACCAGCCAGTGAGCCCCGGAGATCCCCCTGTTTCAACCTCCTCAGCAGTGGTATTATAGGCATGAACGACCATGCCTACCTTTTTTATATGGCTTCCAGGTATTAAACTCAGTTCCTCATGCTGAAGTCATGAGCACTTTATGACTGAGGTATATCCCTAGGCCCCGACTTTGCATGTTAAGTATACTCAGAGAAGTGTGGCTACCCAAAGAAAAATCTAGAATTTTAGCTTTAGTTTCAGTGAAAAAGGTAATCTTTGGGTTTGGGAGCCCAGAGAGACTGCCTAGTGAGAAGTTACTCACTAGTTACTCAGAGAATCTGAGCTTGCTTTACCTAGCAGGGCTGCATGAAGAAATGACTTGGTCATGGGCATGGTTACCAGGTGTTTGGAAGGGTCTGCACTTGGCTGTATCTAGCAAGGGGGAAGTCTTTTGCCTCTCCCCTTGGCATATTATAAAAAGCTCTTTTGAATAAAGGATGAGGCTGGTGGGTATTGATCCAGGCCCTCCCGAAGCTATCCTGTGTTTCTGTCTTTCTTCTCATCGTCTAGATCTCTCTTTATCTGTCATTTCTTAATCCCTCTCTCCTCTACCTAAGAACCTTCAAAAGGCAGGAGCAGGTCAGAGCTGGACTCCCACAGACTCTTGCATTTGGGCGTTGACTAAAATGCAACACATCCCTTTGATAGGTTTCCCAACCTGGGACTCCCCAGGGGAAGCCCTCTTAGGCTGTGTGTAAGATGTGCCTCTCACCTCCAGCTTCTTCCTCTTACTTCCTATTTCCCACTTTCCACCTCTTATAATTCACACTGCCGGATTTCTCCTCGAAATCCAGCCGCCGGAGCCTTCCTGTTCCTGAAAGGTGCAGCCCACACTCCGGAAGCTGGGCTGTGCCCCTCTGCCTGCCACACGCCACCAGCTGTTCTTGCCTGGGCTCCCTCCCTGCCGTTCATTACTCAGACCTCAGCTCAGATGAGCGTCTCTGACGGCTCGCAGGCACAGCTGGGACTGCGTTCTGGAGGGTTCCCAGCATCTAGCACAAGGCAGGCCCTTGGTGGATCCTTGCTGTGTCGTTCCCCTAAAGCAGCTCTGTGAGAAACAGGGGTTGCATAATCTCTGCTATTCTGTTGGGCAAGAAAGAAGCCGAAGAGCCCGGCTGTGGTGGCTTAAGTCTTTAAGCCCAGCACTCAGGAGGCAGAGGCAGGCGGAACTCTGAGGCCAGCCTGGTCTACAGAGGGAGGTCCAGGAGGAATTTGCATCCCTGTAGCCTTTTATCCATGTAGCCAAGGGCTACAAAGAGAAATCCTGTGTCAAATGCTGCCCGCGGCCCCCAAAAGAAAGACGCTAAAGAATAAGGAAAAGGGGCACCCACAAGAGAGAAGCATGCTCCTTTCAGGGCAGAAAAACAAAATGGAGAGTTGGAGGGAGGGCAAGGGGCCAGAGCCGGGTAAAGATCAGGCCTAGCCTGAAGAAATGGACTTGGTTTCAGTTTTGGCTTTTTGAGACAGTGTCTCACTGTGTCACCCTGGCTGACCTGGAACTCGATATATAAACCAGACTGGCCTTGATCTCCTGGCCTTGCCCCTGCCTCTGCGTCTGCCACCTCGCCCAGTTAAAAAAACGAGGCTGTTTGAGGGACAATCCCCTTCACTGCTGCTCCATTCTCCTAGCCTCCCCTTCTCAGTTTTCAGTTTTGTTGTCAAAATAAAAACTGATTAGATGGGTGTCAACCCCCACTTCATCTTAAACAACTGGGCAATTGTTTAGGTTAGGAAAAAAAAATGTAAGACCTGCAATTTTGTCTGAAAGGGTTTAAAAGAAAAAAAAAAAAAAAAGCAATACTTTCCAAAGCGTTCATTGCCTCCTAAGACGTTTCTGCTACTCTCTAAGGTGTTTTGCTCATAATTGAAGGAATTACTCATCACGGTAGAAACAGACAATACACAAAGGACGTTCCGGCTCAGAACCCCATTGTGTCACTGTTCACGATTTCTTTTGTCAAACTGGATCGTCTGCTTCCTCTGCCAACTGAAATCCAACACATTCGGTCATAGCACCATCAGGGGAGAGTTTCCACACTTCATCTTCCCCCTTTCTTCCCTTCTGCGTGTTCCACGCACCAAGTGAGATCGTAAAGACAGGAACGAGGGACGGGGGTGGGGGTGGGGGTGGTGGGGCGCAGCTTGCTAGCACCAAGAGGTTGAGCTTGGTTCCTCATGCTTTGCAGACTTCCCTGCTGACAGCCCAAAGGTATTAGTCATGTGACTGTTTGGACCGCGCAATCGTCGGAGACTAAATGACCTCACCAGGGTAAATGGCACAGAACACAACATACCAGTAATACAGGATTTGCAGGGGGGAATGAACGATGCATTAGCTTTCTGTCACTCTTGCTGTCCCCACCCCCACCACCAATGAGGTTAGTGTTCTTCTCTAGTGATGATGTTCCAATGTTCCGTATGGAAGAGAAACTAGCTCTTCCTGGAACTGGGTGAGTGTCGTGGCTCCTAGGGCTTTGTGGGTGTGAAATCACCACTACCATTTTTCTTTCTCAGTACGGTAAGAGCTCTGTAGAGGCTTTGTGTTCTTACCATTGGCGTCCAGTGTTTGAGGCTTCCTCTGACTGACATGCCCTTTTCCTGGGTCCTCTCCCTTCTGTCCCTGTCTAACTCATCATTTCTCACTTATCCTTCAAGGACCATTTCAGAAGACTTCTCCTAAGTGAGTTTTCTTCACACACACACACACACACACACACACACACACACACACACACACACTCCTAATTTGTGAGCCCCCTGGATGGGTCCTGGGATTTGAACTTGGTCCTCAGCAAGAACTGTACATTCTCTTATTCATCTCCATAGCTCTATGGTTTTCTGTTTCTGTCCCCCACCTACATACACACACTTTGAGACAGAGTCTTACCATGTAGCCCAGGCTGAGTAGGAATCACTCTGTAGCCTAGGTTGACCTTGAACACATGTCGTCCTATGTCAGTCTCCTGAGTATTGGGATTGCAGGAGTAAGGCCACCACTCCCAGTCTTCCTTACGTAGTCTTTGTTGAAGAATATTATTTTAACGAGGCAAAGATGTGTTGCATGTGTTGATGCTACAGAACATTACTTTCACTGTGTCAAGGTGTGTGACTTTTGTTTATGCTGCATGTGTTTAACGATGTAAAGATGAGTTGCATCTGTTTCACCTGGCCTGCCTAAGGCACCTGATTGGTCTAAGCGGAATGGCCAATAGATAGGCAGAGAAAGAGTAGGCGGGGCTGGCAGTCAGAGAGAATAAATAGGAGGAGGACTCTCGGCTCAAAAAGAACAGGATGAGCGAGAGGAAGATGAGGAGAGAGCAAGGGAGACACCAGCCAGCAGACATGAGAAGTAGTGAAAGTAAGATAGAAAGAAAGAAAGAAAGAAAGAGAGAGAGAGAGAGAGAGAGAGAGAGAGAGAGAGAGAGAGAAAGAAAGAAAGAAAGGTAAAAATAAAAATCCCCAAGGCAAAATGTAGACGAAGAAAAGCAGGTTAACTTAAGTTAAAAGAGCTGGCCAGAAAAGAGCTAAGCTAAGGCGGATCATTCAAAACTAGTAAGAAGGGTCATGATTGGGAGCTGGTTGGTGGCCTGAAAGAAAAAGCCTGGTACATGTCTTTTATCCATTCACTTTCCAGTTTGAAACCGAAGTAAAAGTGTATCAAATTGAGACGATACACTGTATAACGTTAAATGCATGTGAGTTTGGAGTGTGGCTGGGGCTGTATTTCAGTGGTATTGTGCTTGCTTAGCATATGGGAGGTGCTGGATTTGATCACCAACACTGGAAAAAAAAAAGTTCTTGCATCTGTTTGATGAATGAAGATTTTGTCAAAATATACGGAGTCATTTTATCCTAATAATGCCTGTTGCTTTCTCTCTTTTCATTTTTCTTTCCTGAGACAGGGTTTCATGATACACAGATCATGCTAGTCTATAATCTACAGTTGTCTTGCCACAGGCTACAGAGTGCTGGGACCACAGGTATGTACTACCAGATCTGGCTACATACTTTTTGTCTTAAACTCACTATTGATAGTAATAATAGCTACACTAGCTTTTTAGAGGGCATTTACCAACTCAAATTTCCCCCCCTTAGTATTTCCTGGCATTCTAGTCCTTAGAATTTTGTAAGCCTCTTATATAAAATATATAGCTTGCTGGGAAGTGGTGGCGCACGCCTTTAATCCCAGCACTCAGGAGGCAGAGGCAGGCGGATCTCTGAGTTCGAGTCCAGCTTGGTCTACAGAGTGAGTTCCAGGACAATCAGGGTTACACAGAGAAACCCTGTCTCAAAAACAAACAAAATATATATACAGAGAGAGAGAGAGAGAGAGAGAGAGAGAGAGAGAGAGAGAGAGAGAGAGAGAGAGAGAGAGAGAGAGAAAGATGGTTTTCTAATTTTTTTTTGAGACAGTTTCATGTAGACCAGACTGGCCTTTGTAGGCTCTATCTATGTATATATTTATATATCTCTCTGAACCCTGACCCTTTGTCCTCCAGTCCTCCATCTCCCTAGTGCTGGAATTACAGACAAGCATGTCATGTATGCTATGTAAATTCCCCCTCTCTCTTTTTTTCCTCTCTCTCTCTGCCTCCCCCTCCCTCTCTCTTTCCCTCTCTCTCTCTCTGGTTGGAGATGGAACCCAGGGCTTTGCGCATGCCAGGCAAAGTGCTCCAAGCCTGGGCTTTCCCAACACACCTCTCCCACTTTTTCCTCATGGCGGACCACACGTTTCCTTTTTCCTGAACAGGTCTGGTGTGCTGCTCATGGGGGGAGGATTGACTGAAGCTGTATTCTGTCTTGTTCTTAAAGTTTCTTTCAAGTGGGGAAAGGAAAAGATTCATAAGGGCATTTATAATCATTCTCTGCATCACAGGAATGAAGAATGGCTAAGGGGAAGCATGGGGGAGGGATGCTGTGGCGGGGGGGGAGCTTTATTTTACAACAATTCTCACTGGCCGCTACCGCAGTTTGCCAGCCAAGTCGCTGGTTCTCTGAGTAATGAGTCAACAGGGGGTGTGAAACTGGATCCAGAAAAATGGAATCTGGAGTTTCTGCTCCCCGGCTGGGGGTGGTGAGTCAGGGCGAAGGTTCTTACGAGCTTCGGTGTGGGGCAGGACTTTGTGAGGAAGCCATTCTCCCATGACTTGTCTCTGTGTACTGCCAAACCTTCCCGAAGGTGGTGTGCCATGTAGAAACCAACTCTGAGCAAACACAGAAAGAGGAAAAGGAAGGGGACACAGCTCCGTGGTAGAGCACATATGTGAGGCCCTGGCTTCAACCCCCATTGCTGGGGGAGATATTAAATAAATAAAGAAAGAAAGAACAGGTACTTTGATATGATTGTCAGTGCTTATAATTCCATTACTGGGGGAAGGGGAGGGTTGTGCTGAGGCAGAAGGATTCCTGTGAGTTCAAGACTAGCCTGGATGATGTAGCAAGTACCCACCCAACTAGGGCTGTATAGAAAGCCCTCTGTCACTCCCTCAAAAGGGGGAGAGCATTAAATTTTGTGACAAGACTGTAAGACTGTTATAATTGTACTGTCTGTTAATCCAGAACATACTTGTATGATTTTTTTTTTTTTTTTTTTTTTTGAAACAGGGTTTCTCTGTGTAACTCTGGCTGTCCTGGACCTCACTCTGTAGAGGCTGGCTTTGAACTCAGAGTTCCACCTGCCTCTGCCTCCTGCATGCTGGGATTTAAGGGGTGCGTTACCACCACCTGGCCTACTTGTATGGTTTTTTAAGATTATCATGTACATAACAAGATATAATTTTACTATTCTTGGGGTATGTTGCTTTGTGGTGTCTGTTTTTGGATCCCCTGCCCTGGTGAAAAATCTCAATTTTGAACAGACTAGGGTTTTGAATTCTACCTATTCCTTGTACTGGCAGTTTCATCTAGAACACATTTCTTAATCATGTTTCCCCGTCACTTTCCTCATGTTCCAAGTGAGCCTAAACACACACACACACACACAGCATTGTCTAGAGATTATCAACACAAAGAAAGCTTTTGCCCTAAAACCAGCGTTAAAAACCCCAAATAAAGATAAAACCCAACAACCACCATAGCCTTTTAAAAAAATTATTATTAAATAAGGAGTTAGGAAGGTTTGGCAGAGAAAAGAGTCTGGTATGGCATGAGGTAAGAATACTCGTCTTTGCTTCAGGAATTTAATCTAAGTATGGCAGAAATCTCTTTGAACTTTGAAGTTGCCCTGAGGGTGTCTTAGAGATGGATCAGCAGGTAAAGGCACTTAATACCAAGCCTGGTGACCTGGGTTTGATCCCTAGGACCCACCTGGTGATAACAGAGAATGGACTCCCACAGCTTGACCTCTGACCTTCATGCAGGTGCTATGGTTACACACGCACACACGAAAATCAAGTTGCCTGAGGGTTTGAGGGAGGTGACTTAGACCCTGTGTGTGAGATGCAAAGCCTGAAGATTCCCAGGAACTGATGGACGCTGCTTCAGTGGGCATGACCTCCTTAATGAGGCTTTGGGACCCTCTCCCCTCCAGTTCACGTCTCCTCCAATCCAGTTAGGGAGCTGTCAGGGGCCATGCTTGCTGCCAGCTTTCTCAGGAATCCCAGCTTTCCAGGCTGGAGGAGAGCCTGTAGCCACATGCCAAGTTAGAGTGAGGATTGCGTGTTCCTGTGTGAGTGAGGTGATGTATAGGTGATATGTAACATCAAACTTGGCACTATTTAAAAAGTATATTACTTCTTTTATTTTTGAGATTATAATATAATCACATCATCTCTCCCTCCCCTTTCCTCCTTCTAAACTCTCCCTTACACCCCTCCTCACTCTCTTTCAAATTCATGGCTGCTTCTTTTTGGTAATTATTGTTGCATACACACACACCACACCCTCCCCCCACAATACACCATCATCTCTCCCCCCCACACACATGAACACATGTATATTCCTGAATATAACCTGCTCAATCTGCATGTATGTTTTCAAGCTGACTGGTTATTGGATAATCAGTTGGTGTGCTCTCCCCTGGGGAAGACTATTTGTCCTGCTCTCAGCTCTACCTAGTTGCCGATGGCTCTTTATGTAGGGTTGAGGCCTTGGTCTTTCTCCCTTCCACTTCAACATGTCTATTGTTGTCCTGGTTCAGCTCCTGTTTGGGCAGCCATGTTGGTGAGGTTTTATGGGTGTGGCTTCTGATGTTATTAGGAGACACAGTCTCAGAGCCAAACTCTCTGATCTTCTGGCTCTTACAATTTTTCCACCCCGTCTTCTGCAATGTTCTCTGAGACGTAGATTTAGTGGTGGTGGTTTTACAGATGTATCCACTGGGTCTGGGCCCCACAGCTCTGCATTTTGGCTGGTTGTGGTTTTCTGTAATGGTCTCCGTCTGTTGCAGAGAGAAGTTTCTGGGGCGGGCGGGCAGAGGGGGGGGCACTCCACTGATCTGTGGGTATAAGAACAAATGTTTAGACCGTAGTTAGGGATTATATTGGTTTAGTAAAGTGGTGATTGTAGGCTCTCCTTCAAGATCCATGACTTCTCCAGCTCTGGGTAGTTGGCTAGGTTTCCGGTACCAGGCATGGTTGCCCTCTTGTTAAGCATGTCTTAGGTCTGATTAGAGAGCTGTTGCTTACTGCCAAGGTATTCCAGCCACCACTGCACCCTTAGGGTTACCATGCCATGCTGGTCATCGTTGTGGTTTATAGGCATCACATCATGGTAGGCCCGTCAGTTGCTTTCCTCTTTGGTAAGCTGGCATGGAACTCTCTAGTGTTATGAAAGCTAGTCCTCAGGGAGGAGGCATTCAAGTAAGTTCCAGCTCAGGGAACTCATCGCAGGACGTGAGATACTGTATTTTTTTTAGACATTTATTTATTGTGTGTGTGTGTGTGTGTGTGTGTGTGTGTGTACACACAACTTGCAGGGCTCAGTTTTCTTCTAACACGTGGACCCCAGGGACTAAACTCAGGTTGGCGGACTTCGAGGCAAAAACACCTTTATCTGTTGAACCATCTTGCTGGCCCAACATAAGACAAAACAGATAAATGATGGTGTCCCAGTAGCAGAGTGCTGGTCTAGCATGGACACAAGGCTCTGAGTTTCATTACCAGAACCAAAATAAATAAATAAACAATACCACTAACGAAGCCCGTCAGTCTCAGCCTCAGATACCAACCTCTATAAATAACACGCTTTCCTATGGGAAACTTATCCTCAGTTCCAAACGATTGACTTATGAATAAAACATGGAGACGTAACTCATTAGGCATGCAGGACTACATTCCTTCCCTGGCGGGTTACTGTTGGGAGAGGAAGGAGACTGCCCAAGGTACAGGAACACGTACGTGTGCACTGTGAACTTTTCTAACCTGGATGTCAGCCCAGCAAAGGAGCATTTGTCCCAAAGAGCACTACTGGTTCCTTCCTGACCTTCCACCAATGACAGGGACATTGGATTAGGTTTAGTCCCATGGCCACGCCTGTGCCCGCACTGTCTAGATGCTTTACTATTCCTTGGAGCATTTTCAGAGGTGAGAAGTCTACCTAGGGTTTTCTGGAAACTTTGAAATATTGTCTGAGGCGTGCTTCTGAGCTTGAATTGGGCTGGCTAAGATTAGCTCTCCAAACACTTTTAACCAGATCCTCATCAACTTTCTCTAACCTTTGGGGTGTGAGCGTGTTGGGTAGAGGTATCCCATCATGTGTTGGTTGACAGGGAGATGCTAAGAGTTTTCTATTGCTCAAGTTCCCTCCAGGCTGTGCAAAGAGCAGAAAAGACAGGACCTCTGTTTTCAAGGAAATTGCAAATTAGTGTGGGGAGCCATATATTAAAGAATAGGACCCACGGTGGTGGCCCATGCAGGCAGATTTCTCTGAGTTTGAGGCCAGCCTGGTCTAAAGAGTGAGTTCCAGGATAGCCAAGGCTACACAGAGAAACCCTGTCTTGAGAAACACCAAAATAAACGAAAATAAAATAAAAAAATATAAAACACAGGATTCCATTCAGCCAGACCTGATTTGAGCCTACCATTTCTTAGCCAGGTAATTTGAGCTTCCTTTTGTTTGTTTTTTGTTTTTGTTGTATTAATCTACGAAATGGGAATGATAAAAGTAGCCGTCTCTGTTTTAGAATTGTCCTGAATATTATGTTCCGTGATAAACTATTTGATGCTCATATACAATAAGTGCTCGATAAATGTCGCTTCATGTTACCATATTCCAGGAAGTCCAAAACGGGATCACAACTGGTCTGGGCTATGAAGGGAACTCGATACCATTTCAGTTACCACTCTGCTTGGTTGTTTTCTGTCTGTCTGTCTGTTTTGGGGAGGGGGGGTGGTAGTCAGGGAAGGGTTCTTGAGACGGAATCCCACTATGTTTCCAGGGTAGCCTCAAACTCACAGAAATCCGCTTGCCTGCTCTCTGCCTCCCAGTGCTGGGACAGCAGGGCCGCCACCTCCAGCCCTGCTCAGTCTTTTCAGACCCGGGGGAGTCACTGCTCTGTGGGCCACAGAAATAGCTGAGGAGGGCTGGCTTAGAGGAGCTTTGGGGACACCTTTAGCTTGGTAAAGGGACACCGTTCTGCCGGTCTTGGCTCAGTTTTACACAGGGCACCTATGTTTCGAAACTCAAGAGCTGGAGCTTCTACTTAAAAAAAAAAATTGCTAAGAAGACAGGGATTCAACAGATGCAGCAAGCCCATGATTTTGTGAAGCTTCGTGTAGATTTGTAAGAAGAAAGTGATAAGGCAGAAATGATGCTCCCATGAGAGACACTGAAAGCTAAACATGCATATTGACAAATCTGAATTACGGACCTTTCTCTTTCTTTCTTTCTTTCTTTCTTTCTTTCTTTCTTTCTTTCTTTCTTTCTTTCTTTCTTTCTTTCTTTCTTTCTTTCTTTCTTTCTTTCTTTCTT